AGATAGATAGATAGATAGATAGATAGATAGATAGATAGATAGATAGATAGAGGACTAACAAACAATCAGAGCTATAAGTGGTAAATTAATAAGAAATGCAAATGAAGATAAATGAGTGAAATGAAATAAAAAATAATACAAATAAATAAAGAAATTTAAAATAAGAGAGAACTATAAGATATATTTAAAAAAATGAATGAACAGAAATAAGAAAAAAAGGAGGAAAAAAGGAAAAAAAATCTAAATAATGAAAGTTTACTGCATTAGTACGGTCATGGCCGGTTTCCATCTGTTGACAAATGTGTCTGTTATTGCTCATTTTGACCCTTTTTGCTCTGTGCTCTGCCTCATTGTGTCGTTTCAGTCATAATCGCCTGTTTTGTCGGTGCGATTCTCGCGGCCTGCAGGAACGTCATCGGATACATTTTCACCACAGAGGAGTAAGTAAACAGTGAAAGGTGGGCTCTGTCTCGGTCCGGGCTGTTAAACATCCACAGAGGTTAGCACCTCTCCTGCTGACGCACAGACTCCCGACCAGGCCTCGGGACGCCAAGTCAAACACGGCCTGTTTTCCCCCGAATCTACCCCACCAGCACAGTCTGATTAAACCCCCCCGATAACGCAGATTAACATGCTTTTCCCAGCTGTTTTTGTAGTATTTTACGCTGTGATTATCTAAGTATGTGTTTCAAATGTCTTTTTATATTAAAAAGACTGTTTTCGTGCATATTTTAAGACATGAAGTAGCTTAAAATATGAATTAACCCCCCCTAGTGTGAGGTTTGTGCCCTAAATGATCAGCATCTATGTTCCTGTAATGATTAATACTCCGTATGCAGAAACTCCTCTGGCCACATGATGTTTTTAACACTAAAATTTTATCAATATTGTCATTATTACATTTTTATCAAATATACTCTTTACTAGATAATGAAAAAATAGTAAAGGAGATCTTTATCTCTGATTACGATGTCAAATAAGAAAGAGAAGATATCCTGATTATCCGAAAACGGTGAAACACTGAGAGCTGCCTTAGAGTGAAGCTGGAGGAGTGGAGCTGCAACTTTGCGAACTCTGAGGGACTAAATAACCAGGAAAACTGTCTGAGAGGAGAGAAAAACCAGCAAAATGAAGAAAGGAACCGCTACCAGAGCAGAGAGATGAAGTTTAATCTGATTCTGATTGGAAAAGGAGCCTTTAGCGGCCTCTGTTTGGGGTTTAACTAGTAAATAACTCTGACATTTGGAAGGTTTTTCATTAAAAAAAGGTGTTTTCTTGTTTTCGTAGCAGGTGCAATAATACGTGTAGTAAATCTAAAAATCTTTTTCTGTTCGCAGGGACATTTTACGGAGGGTCTCTGACGTGATGATCATCTTCGCGTTCACACATCTGGCCGACGCCGTGGCGGTAAGATGGCGGTTTCCAGCTCCGCGTTTCCAGCTCTCCTCCGGGTTCTGAGGGGGCTGGTTTTAATGGCAGGGCGTGACCGGGGGGGTCCTCCGCGGGGCGGGGAAGCAGCTGGTGGGGGCCCTCTGCAACCTGGTGGGCTACTACTTCATCGGCTTCCCCATCGGCGTGTCGCTGATGTTCGCGGCGGGCATGGGCATCGTGGGGCTGTGGACCGGCCTCACCGTCTGCGTGCTCATGCAGTCCGTCTTCTTCATCCTGTTCCTGTGGAAGCTGGACTGGAAGAAGGCGGCGGAGGAGGTGCGTCCGCCCCCCGCCCAGCCGCCTGGCGCTCCTCAGGAGGAGATTAACAGCAGCTTTCCCCCCCCCCCCCCCCCCCCCTACAGGCCCGGGTCAGAGCCGGGGTGCAGACCAAAGACGAGAAGGAGGCCGTCAGGATAGACGACAAAGGTGAGCTCAGACGTGTTCACAGAGAGTCAGAGGGACATTTAAAGGAGACATATTATACCCTATTTCAACAAGTTAAGCTAGTTCCCTGGTGTCCTAATGTAATGTCTGTGACAAGCTTTGGTCCAAATCCCATAAGGATGAAGCCCAATAGCAGTTCAGTCCCCCTGCCTAACCCTAACCCTAACCCTAACCCTAACCCTAACCCAAAACAGCCCCGTTCAGAGCGCTCGCTTTGGAGTGCCTGTCTCTTTAAATGCAAATGAGACACAGGCAACCCGCCCATTTCTTCAGGGAGGTGTGCCCACGTCGGCACGCTAACGCTACCATGCTAACGCTACCATGCTAACGCTACCACGCTAACGCTACCATGCTAACACTACCATGCTAACGCTAATGCTACCACCACGTCTGCCACAGATAGGCGGAGTAAGCTGAGGTGGGGGGCAACATGCAGGTGAAAGGCTGGAATATTATAATGAGCTAGAGCTAATGACACCAGAAACTACCCACTCCTGAAACCTCCTGATTTATCTCCCGGATTCAGACTGAGGCAGCCCACAAAAACATGACTCAGTCATTTTCTTTCACACTCTGCCTGCTGATAGGCCCTCCACAGTCCCAAATGTACATAATAAAATGATTACAAACTTGGTTTTGCATAATATGTCCCCTTTAAAACTAGGAATCCCTCCATCTAACTGTGGAACTGCATCTAACAAATCTGATCTCTAGCTCCCCCGTTTCCAACATGACTTCCACATCATGGAGTTTTCTCTGGTGATGAGGTTTGGAATTTAAAAGAAACTACAAACTGAATTGAATCATTAGTGTGAGCAGGTAATTCCTCCTCCAACCAGATGGAGACTTACGTTGCCATGTTAGCTTGTTTTTTGCTGGACAGGCAGACTAGTGCTTTATGTCCCTCTCTGCCATTATAGTTTTTCAAAATGGCGGATCACCAAGACTCTACAGGTCCCAGATAGATAGATAGATAGATAGATAGATAGATAGATAGATAGATAGA